TGTTTCGGGCCCTTTAGGAAAAGATAGTCACTCACACTCTGTCAGGCTCCTGATGTCCCGGGCCACGGTCACTACTTCATTCAACCCTTGCAGACATCCTCTGAGGTCAGCACAGCTGTCACTGCCCCCATCTCACGGGGGTAGAAACTGGGTTCCAACAGCTTGCATAATGAGGCTAAATCAAACCCGGGGCAGGCTGGCCCCAAAGTCTTGGTCTTAACCTGCCCACTCCACCTTTCCCCACTTGGACTTTTGCCCAGGTGAGTAAGCCCTGGCTAGGGCAACTGGGCTCCTCCCTCTGGCCTTGCTTTCCTGGGACAGAATACAGGGGGGATTCATTCTTTTCCCAGCTTCACTTCCGGATAACCTTGAAATGGGAGGAGTCCCCAGGTCACCCTAAAGAGGACACCTGGAGTCAACATGGGGGATGGAAAAGCCTATGGGAGCTTGGAGGGCTAGACTCAGGTCACAGGTAGAAAAGAAGAAGGGCTCCCCAAACCCTCCAAGAAGGCGGGACAAAGGGTGATGGAAACGCCTTCTGTGAAGCTTTACATTGTCTTTCCCCCTCTGCTTCTCTGATATGCCTGAAGACGAATAAACATGACACCAGACTGGAAGGCTGAGGCAGGAAGATCATAAGTTCAAGGCCCGCCTGAACTCAAAAGAGAGACTGATAACAACAGCCACTCCCTGTAATGTGTATCCCATATGTGGGTTGGGAGTCCAAGCCATGGAATGTCTTACCGGCTCACAGCACTGTGAGGCAGGGGCCATGACGGCAGTTTACACATGGGGAGCCTGAGGCCCTGCAGCCAGCAGAGCGGCTGAGTCACTTGCCCAGAGACACACTGTAAGGAAGAAACATGAAGACAGACTGCAGCTCTCCAGAGTTCGCTGCGACAGGCAGGGATCGAACCTGAGCTGCATGGACAGAGCTTGGGCGCACAGTGTGGACCGCAAAGGGCAAGAAAGGCCCTGAGGAATAGGCAGACTGATGCATAGGTCCCCGGCTGGCCTTCCCAAAAGCAACTCAGGGCCTCCGCCTTTAGACTCTGGGTTTGAAGGGCGGGAAATGGGAAGGGAATACAGAGGCAATGGAGTCAGAAAGAGTTGGAAGCCTGCTTTAGTGAGAGGCAATTCAGAGAACAAAGCCAGGACGGGTTAGAGCTCCCTGTACCCAGGGAAATCCTCAGAACCTGTTGCTCCCTGGCCCTCTCCCCCTGTAGGCACACACACACTGGAAAGAGGTTGGACAGACCCACGTGCTTAAGGGACTGGTTGACACATTACCACACCACAGAGCTATCGGCCTCCCCAGACAATATCCTCCCACGAAGAAAGGTCGTTGCCACCAAAAGCACCAAGAGGTCAGCAGTCAGCTCTCCCTTTCCCCTGAAGGTGGGCCAGGGGAAAAGAGAGAGGTGGGGCTGGAGTCTGGAGCTCTTACCCTGTTATTGTTACACACACATGCTCAGGTGCCCAGAGTTCCCCTTCTCTGCAAGTCCCTGAGGAGGTTTGCAGGCCACACACACTCAACCAGAAAGGAAGAGGGGGGGAAAAAATCAATTGGATTGATCGGAAACTATATTGGATCCTGGCTGTAGTGCTAACACAGCCCTTTCCACAGGGGATCCACAAGGCGTGGGTGGCCGCTGCTCCCTGAGGACAAGGCCAGAGGGTAGGAGGCTTAAGCTGAGAGGTAACATGCTAGATGAGAGAATTTCTAGGGGAAGACATGTCTGTTCATATTTGTATTCTCAAGGCAAAAACAGTGGGAGGAAGGGAGAAGGGTCTGCCTGAGCACCGGGGCAGGTGCCTCCTGAGCGTGGAAGGAGGTTTTTGCCCCGATGTACTGGGGTGACAACCTTGTCCCTGGTCTTAGATGTACGCTGCATGTGTCCCTGCATTCAGGCAATGCTGATCACATCTCTGTGGCTGGCGCTGAGGGCTGGGGATGAGGCAGCACACAGCCCCAGAAGCCTGGCATCTCCTGAGAGACAGAGTGGAGAAGCAGAGAACAGGATGCCAGACCGTGAGAGGAAAAGTACAGCAGCAAAAGGGTAGGGGTGGGGACCCTGATAGGAGGGCAGTGAAGTGAGGGGCAGGTCTCAGGAATGTGTGGATAGAGAGCATCTTAGGTGTTAGGTGAAATGTGCTTGGCCTGACCAAGGCACCATGCCTGCTGCAGTACACAAGAGCAGTAATACAGCCTGAGATTGTGGGGGGATGGGAGGGTCCCGTGAGCAGAACCATCCCAGGCCCCTGGGTGACCCAAGGACTTGGATTCTAAGTGGCATGAGTCTTTAAGCAATAGAGTGGCACCTTGGACTGGTGGACTGAAAATGGACCATGGGATCAGACTCAGAGACTATAGGACTAGAAAAACAGGAGCCTGCAGCCTCAGCCACGGCTGGTCCTAAAGAATCTTGTTCTTGACTCCAACCACCTTCCAGAAAGTACTAGAATGAAGAAGCAGCAAGATCAGAGGGTCCACAGACCTCTGTACCCAGCACAGAGGCCAGGCCTTGGACGACAGACCCGAAGCTGAGGATTCTAGGTGTTCACTTGACATCTGCTGTACTTCCGGTTCAGCAGATGACACAAGGCCGGGAAGCCAAATGGATATCACAAGACTCTGGTGTCCAGACCCAGCCCTGAGAAGACAGAGCAGGTTCTGAAGTGCCCTGCACCCCACTGCCCCTCCCCCAGCAAGGCAGCTCCTGATGCAGAGAGGCAAGGCGGCCCACCCTCCTGCCCTGCGTGGTCACATAAATCACCCTCCCAATAATATTTGTATTGATCATCTAGATTGGAAGCCTCCGTGGGCTCCATTGTCTCACTTCCTCTCCCAGGGCTCACAGATGGGGTCTCCCAGCCTCATCTGCGTTTCTAATGGGACATTCAAATGGAACAGCGACAGCCCGCAAGGCCCCCGTTGCCCTGGGTGTTGGGGGGGCTGGAAGATCATGTAAACATGTTCCTTGAGAGAGAGAGGATGAAGCCTAAGAAGAGCAGCAAGCCAGGCCAGTTCTAGAATCAAAGCGGGATTCTGTCAGAACCACCTGGATGCTGGTCAGAGTGGAGGCAGGCCCAGTGCACACTCCAACCCACGGTTCACTGAGGACATTTTGACTAGATCCCTCCCTCAGAGCCACGTGCATGTTAATGGCACTGTACAAATGAGAAATGGGGACAGAGAAGGCAAAGTGCTCGGTGGAGGTCACAGAGTGGCCCAATTGAACTGGCCAGCAGGCCAGCAGTCTCTGCAGAGAGTGTGGGCCACTTTGGGCTCCTCTCCCTCCCCAGTCCCTGCCTCCCTTCCCAGGGTGTGGACAGATGGCTCAACCAGGGTCTGACCCCCTCCCCTTGTATTCTCCAGCCTGGAGGGGCCAGAGTGAGCTCCGGGGACACCCCAGGAGGGCACCTCCTCCCGCTTGGCCAGCCAGCTGCCCCTTCCCTGGCAGCACTGGGCAGAGGATCCCAGGGAAAACTACCACCTGGGTCTGCCCTGCACGGCCCAGCATCTGGGGGTGCCCCCCACAGGAACCAGAAGGCCTGAAACCTGCAAGAAGGGAAAGCTGTGGTCAGAGCAAGGAAGGACGGAGACCATGAGGAGGGAGGAACAGAGATGGAGCAAAACAAAGAGGGAAAGGGGCATGAAACAGGAAGAGGAGAGAAGGAGGGAGCCATGAAGAATGACTATGCAGGAAGCGGAGGAGGCAGCTGGCCTGGAGGTGCTGGGGCCCGGGACCAGCCCATGCTGCCCAGCCTGGCCCAGCCCCCAGTATGGTGCAGCTGCCTCACTCGGGGCCGTACCATGAGGTCAGTACTGCCCTGGGGCTGTGGGAAAATAAATGGTGTCCAAGATAAAAGGTCCAAGAAATTATTCGTCTTGTTGTCATGTCCTGATGGCAATGGGCAGGGGCCGATAGGGCACCATCCCAGAAAGGCGAAACTGGCAGGCTCAGCACACGTGCAGGACCCTGCCCCCAGCCACTAGCTCTAGAACCTGGGCCCAAGGAGACAGAAGGCTGGGGACTTGCATCCCAGAGATGGGTAAGGACCAGGAAGCCTCCTGGCAGTCCCAGGACTTTCTGTCAAGCAATTTTAAAGAAGTTGTTTTGGGTTTTGCTTTGTTTCTTTTCTCCCTCAGACAGAATTTCTCTGCGTAGCCCTGGCTGTCCTAAAACTCACTTTGTAGACCAGGCTGGCCTCAAACTCAGCGATTCGCCCATCTCTGCCTTCCAAGTGTTGGGATTAAAGGCATGCACTACTACTGCCAAACCCTGTCTAGCAACTTCAAATAAAATATCTGCATGTTTAATATTTGCCCAGCATCTGTCTTGGCTGAATCCTCTCCAGAGCGCTAAAGAGGTAGAGTTATGTCTGCTCTGTTGCATGTGCTGGGGGCTAGGGAAGAGAAAAAGTCCCAGTGTTCCTCTTCTGACTTCTGCAGCAGAGGAAGGCTGCAAGTGTCCCTCAGCAGCCCCTCCCCCAGGAGAACTGAGCTGCTCAGGGACCAAAAGAAGGTCACAGGGACCATGACCCACGTTGTTGTGTTGTGAGTACCCATGTCTTATGGGTGTACAAGGTCAAGCTTAATACACACATGCACATTTGCATACACACAGACACACATTCCCATAAGCACACATGAAGATGACTTCCATGACCACCAGAGAGCAGAACTAGAGGCTTTCGCCCTTCCCAGAAGCTGAACCTGGGCAGGAGGGAGCAGTGGTGCAGGGAACGGACACTGACATTTGGGCATTCCCGTCCAAGCCACCGTGGAAGGGGTGCTTTTATTCATTTATTCAATGAGCTTCTTAAGGGCTCACTAATGCCTCCCCATTTTATAGACTGAGAAACTGAGGCCCAGGAGAGCTAACACTAGGTCCCAGACTACGCATCCAGCACAATACAGAGCCAGGATTTGAATGGGAACTCTCCAAGTCTGGCGAGAACATGTGCAAGGCGTGTGGGTAGGGTCTGACACATACCATACTTGTCCCCGTCCTCGCCACGGGCACTGATCCTACGGCCCAAGACTTGAATGTGCTTCCCACTGGTCCTGCTGTAGAGCTGGTACAAGCGCAGCTGCTTCCGGCTCACATCATCGCGAGCCCGCGTCTGGTTCTCCACATGGATGCGGAAGTCCACGTTCTCCTCGGCCGCCAACACCTACGCAAGGGGAGGAGCCAATGGTGAGTCTGTCCGCTACACCCCTCTCTGGCCAGGCCCCATTTCACAGACAAGGCAACTGAGGCAACTGGGAAATAATAAAGCTGAGAATCGGGCCTGGGTATCTAGATCGTCCCACCTGCTGGCACGTGGTGTTCCCTGTGACCTTGGCATGCAGGTTGCTCTGCTCCGATCTCCTTTTAGTACAGAGCCCCCTCTCTCAAAGGTATCTGGAACTACGAGGAGCGCCTGAGCAACTGCGAAGAGAACCAATGTCCACAGGGCTTCAGGGAGAAGTTGGAAGGACACATGGCAGGGAAGGATCAGCACAAGCAATCGCAAGTACTGGCCACTGCACCAGAATCCAGCATTGCTACATCCCTGGATCTCCACGGGAATCTTCACACTCAACTCCACGGTACTGGTCCATGTCCCAGGCCCCGAATTTATATCCCCCATGCAAACACTCTTTCCACTCAGTTCTCATCAAGCCACACCCTCCAGAAAGCCTTCTTGGGTTGCACCCACAATCTCTGCTCCCATCCACCTTCAAGAATACAGCCCCTCCCCTCAACAGTATGCACCCCCTCTCCTCCTCAGCCCAGTCCAATTGTGTCCTGTTGATAACCCATCCTCTTCCAAACACAACCCTGCAGTAGAATCCTCCCTGTCCACACTCCTCGGGGCTTTCTCACCCTCAGAGGTCCTCCCAGGGGCTTACAAGCCAACAGGCAGCCCCCATGCTTCCCTGTCTCTTCTCTTACTCCTTCCAGGCCAGTCCCTACCACCTTAGCTTGAAAGTCTCTGAAACCCTCCTAATACTTAGCACACACCAACTCAGGTCCTTTGCACCTGCTCTCCGGCAAACAGGCCTCCTCAGGTGGCCCTATCCCTGCCATTCTCCATGCCTCCCTGCTATGAGATCCCTCCTGGCACCCGCAACTCAACACACTGTTTACCTACTCAGCTTCCGTCTGTCTGCTCTGACGACACTGACCGCACCATGAAAGCCAGAGTTCTCGCTCTCTCTCCTGGGCCACTGTCCCAAGAGCCCCAGCACAGACACACAAGCACTTGTTCCAACAAATGCATGAACGAATGAATGAATGAACAGACGTTAAGAAGTAAGTTACATCCACCTGTACCTGCTAGCTAGCTGGGCGGCCCATCCCATCTTAGAAATCAGAACAAGTCCTGAAGCATGGGCTAGAATGATGGCAATTTGTCCGGCCTGCAAGACGTGCTGGGGTAATGGTTAGAAGTGTGGGTTTGCTCTGTGATCCCACCGAGTCTGGCACAACGCTAGCACACAAGAGCCCAGTCCCAGAAAAGCATTGCTCACCCAACCGTGGCTAGAGCTCTCTGGACCCTGGCAGCCCAGCAGCCCAAGCCATCGCCTTAACTAGGAGATCTCTGTGACTCGGTTTCCTCACAATGAACATGACGCAAACAGTACCTGCCCCCGGGGGTTGCTAGAAAGACCAAATACAAAAAGCAACATGGCAGTTACTTCCACATCTGAGCAAGCACCAGAACGTTGGACAAGACTCCAAGTGAAGCTCGGCGAAGCGGAAATCGAGGTTCACAAATGTCCATTCTGCAACTACTATACGCCTCCCTCCATTTCCACCAGCCATGACAGTCCACCCACAGTAGTACCAGGGACAGCCTCACCTCCCACCCTGGCATCCATGGAGGCCCACACATGGAGGACATTTTTCGGGAAGACCCCACACTTGGGGCCATTGACCTTTCTGGAATGATTCCTGGAGTCATCTTAGTCCTATCCCCTCCCCCAAAAGTAGGCACAGGATCCCTGTCCTCGACTGCTCCTCCTCTCAGAGACCCTACTGACTGGAGGTCAAGCCGGTCTCCTCATGGCCGGTTCCCAAGGGGCGCTTTCCTACCCCAGAAGCTGTCCTTCTATTAATGATTTTTTTTTCCTGGCCTGCTGGACAGAAACAGCAGAGTGACCCAGGGTCAGCAAGGTCTATTGGGTGGCCCTGCACCAGGATGTGGGGATACAATCCATCTTGCCTTGCTTCCACCACTTAAGCCATAGTCTGACCAGGTCAATCCCTAGGGAAGTAGCGGGTGGCCTCTGCAGAAGACTGAGCCCTTCTTCTGGAAAGGCTGGATACCCTAGACTTCCTATCAAAGCCTCTGGAGGGTCCAGGGCACCAGCCCCTCTACCTGCCATTAGAAGCCCGCATTAGAGGTTTCCCTCAACATCACCTCACAAGGCAGGGTCTGGGCATGCTATTGTTCCCAGAGTTTGGATAACCAGTCTCGTTCCTGGGTATCAGCTTGTCCACAGCAATCAGCAGTGCTTGCCAAATGACTGGAGGCCAGCAGCAAGCCCTACCCTTTCCATCCATATACCTAAAGTGCCTGGCTGAGGGAGGCAGGGGATGCGGTGCTATGTGGGACCGCGCACATCGCTTTGCTCCAGGCATCTTGTTAAGAAACCCCGAGACTTACCCCTGTTCTAGCTCCACCAACTCCAGAGCTTTGGACTATCAGGGAGCCAGGGAGACCCCATTTCCCAAGCTGGACCTTGAGGCCAGCCTCAAGAGCCATAGGGCTGGGAATGGGGAGACAAAATTCCAGGCTTCGCTGTCCAGAGCTATGCAATGCAAGCTTGCCTTGAGAGAGTCACTGTCCCCGCTCTCTGGTGGGGTGAGTGGCAGCTTTCTTGGCTATGGTACCTAAGAGCAGTCTGCCAGCCTGATATTCCTCCAGGTGCACAATGATCAGGAGTCAAAAAACTTTGGGATGAGCAAAAAGCCATAAAACACACAAGAAAGCAAGAAGACCTAATACATAGACAATGTGGCCCTACCTCCCTCAATGCTACACCCACAGGTAATCCATGGTCAAAGCAGGCTCTCCATAGTGGGAGACTGATACTGTTCATGCAGCCTAAGACTCCAAGAACTCCCAATCTGGCCATTTCCCTTTCCCAAATATTTGCTCCCCAGTCCAGGAGCTGCACACGAGCAACAAGGACTCTAGAGGCTCAAACCTCATTCCGATCCTGGGCTCTTCCAAAGCCTTAACCTAGGAATGTCAACAGGGCGCTTAGTAGACAGAGCCCACACGCCTCAGCTTGCATCCTGTCTTCCTCTAGAGTACTCTCAGTTCAGTGAAGGGTGCTCCTTCTTGCTCAGAAACCTGCCAGGCCCTAGCTTCCCAAGCACAATATCCTGTCCCTGCCTGCACTCCAGGCCTACTGCCCTCATCCTGGTGATAACCTGATCGATACGAAAGGGAGTTCTGCCAGCTTCTAGAGACCGTGGGGACACCTGCCACACATCCTCCTCGAAGGCTTCAGCCCCGACTCTGAGAAGCATGTTTGGGGGCATCCCCATTCTTCCCAGACCATGCACATTGCCATCTCCTGAAGACATCCATCAAGATCCAGAACCTCTGACATGAACCTCTGACACCAGGATAACAGGTAACATTCGACCTGCAGGTTACCTGGCCCCAACCACAACAGCTGACTCCCATTTTCCTGTCTGCAAAAATGGGAATTTTTTATAACATTTACCTTGGGAAAAAAAATCAGTAACTGTAACAGCCATTACATTATTTTTTTAAAAAGTCTTGCTTTATGAACAGCCATGGGGTTTTCCATCTCTGTGTGTGCACCTGAGTATGTGTGCATATTTGGAGGGGGGGTTATATGCTGAGGTGCATGTGTGGACATCAAAGGACATGTCAGTCCTTGTCTCTTCCCTTGTTTGAGACAGGATCTCTTTCTGTTATTGTTCTCTGCTCTATACACCATGGCCTCTGACCCACAAGCTTTGGAAGTCCTCCTGACTCCACCTCCTGTCTCGCCATAGGAGAGCTGAGATTATAGGTGTGCACTTCCATGCCCAACTTTATGTGCACTCTGGGGGTTTGAACTCAGGTCCTCACTCGCACAGAAAGCGTTTTACTTGCTGAGCCAGCGCTCCAGAGCTCAGCAGCCATGATCAGTCACCACCACTGTGGGTGACTTATCTTACACAATCACCAGAGTGATGTCATAAGCAGGAATGGTTAGCATCCCCATGTCAAAGTTGGGGAAAGTGAGGTTTGAGGGAGGTCACATCCTTTGTCCTCAGTCACGGAAAGAGTGAGCAGAGAACCCAAAAGTCAAACACAACTTCACCTGCGTCTAGAGTGCAAGCCAGCCACTTCATCTACTACCTACTACCATTTCCCCTTGTCCTCACCACCTCCCTCCCACCAGGGTCCCCTCATCCTGGGTTTCAGCTATCCCTGGCCAACGAAGAACCAAAAGTATTAGACAGAAAATTCCAGACTTAAGCAATGATGTGTCTAGTTCAGTGCTGTTATGAGTAACATGATAACATTTCGTACCATTCTCTGACCAACATATCCGTGCTGCAGCTGCTACCCACCTGTGAGGTATTAGTTAGTAGCCGTCTAGGCTCTCAGGTGTACAGACTCAGCAGCTCAGTGCTTGTACATGGGGTAGCCATCCCTGACCGATCTGAACATGCCTCACGCATGTATCACAAGGATACAGTTGCACTCCGGAAAAAGCCGGATCGGAACCTACGGCATGGCTAAGGAAGAGGAAACCGACCATGGAGGAACTAGAAACTTGAATTCCCCTGTGCAAGAGGAAAATGAAGTCCCCCAGCGACCCTCAGATTCTTGAGACCTCTTGCCATCCGTTTCCATCTCCAGGCATCGCCGCCCAGGAGTGAAGACCTCCCTGGTCCCAAGGAAGACAACCACAGGCTTCAAGCTGCAGCAGGAGCCTACGGCTTTTATAGCTCTTTCAAATTCTGGGTTCAAACCCCAGACTTCAGGCCTTCTAAGAATGGATCCCAGTAAAGTCAGCTTCCTTCTCCACTCCAAAAGGCAGCCCTCCAAATGCCTCCTCAAGAGCAGCCTGGACTCGAGTCGGCTACGGCCACTCACAGTGGCTCTGAATTCCCAGGCAGACGGTAAGCGCCGCCCAGGGGCTATCCACTCAT